TGATTGATCCAAAAATAAATAAATTATTAAATTAAAAAGAGAAATAAAAAAAATAATTTGAAAAAGGGAACAATTCAAAATTTATCAAAAAAGTTTAAAAATAAAAACAATCTTCTCTCAAAAGGAATCCATCAGATTAGGATAGTCTTCTTGCTTTATTTGGATCTTAAAAGAAATTTTCTTTTTTACTATTTATAATATTGGATAAGTCAATTTAACTGATTCTTATTTAAGTGAGTACTGGATTGTGATATCTCAAGAAAAGTAATTAGATCTTAGCTTTTTTTCATTAAAGTTTTATTATTATTTAAGAAACTTAAGTAAGAAATAAAAGTTTACAATTCATATTATCTATCACTTGATTTTTTGATATCGTAAATATCTTCATTAAGAGATTTGGATTTTGGAAGACAAATATTATTAGAATATTCTTTTCAATTACTAATAATATCATCAGAATATATAAATATAATTAATAGGAGCTTATTTATATTTTAAAAACTAATGTGTTTCATGTTAATCAATCACCTTTGATTAGGATTTGTGCTATCCAAAATTTAGAATCAAATTAAGATAAAATAAAAACTTTAAGAGAATTTAGACTTCTTATTATATTTTTATTTTTGATTAATTTTTTATTTATTTTTATTTTTTTTAAAATACTAGCTTATTCTTATGTCAGGGTGATGAGTGTTTTATTTAGGTAAGGAAAAAGTTTAGGGACAACTGGAATAAATAATTACCTGTACTATCTAAAGATTTACAGATCAACAAATAGTATAAAGAGCTAATTATTTACATCCCACTTAACTAAAATAAGATAATTACATGACTGTCTAGTGTAGATTTTCTACTTATAAAAACAAAACTTTGAAAATAATGGAGAGATATGGTAATTCATACTATATTAAATTCTTTATTATATCACGATACTCCTTAGGACTTAAATCAATTGGGCAACTTATTACTATCTCATAAAAGGGGGCTAATGTATCAAAAATTCACATGAATTATTCAGCACCACTAATGTTATGGATTTCTTATATGAAGTCTTAACTTCACTAGTACTTAGAAAAAAATTTTTTATATAGATGTGTTTGGATCTTGTTCAAATAAACTTGGTGTTATGACTTTGTGAGAAAGATAGTTTCAATGAGAAACTGGGTGTATCAAAAATCTTTAAAAAAAATACTGACCTTTATGTTTCTCATGGTGTGTTGCTGAAGGAGAAAGGAAGGAGAGAAGAGGATATTATCTATCCAATGTGTCCTGAACCAGCTTCTTTTCTTTTCATGTTATTCATAACATAAGAGGTTTCATATCTTATATCCACCCACACCAAATTTAATGACTTATGGTGAATCCCAGATTCTTATAGGTACTGAGGAAATGCATTCAGACATATGAGGTAATCAATAGGTGCTTGTTTACATCTTTTACTAATGTGAAATTTCTGTTCAATCATGGTGTGAAAAACTTTGTACTACTCAAAATTTAGAATCAAACGGAGGTAGGCAAAATTTCTTCGAAAAATCCAGAAACAAATACTATCAGAGCACAAACAATGACAAAGAGGGTGAGAGAGGAGTTTCTTGTCACAAACAATATTCTATATTGTTTCTTTACAATGTAAGACAGCTGTACATTAGTTCTTCTTTCTTTCAGAACTTTCTTATCATTGGTAAAAAAGATGTTGCTTAACTTTTTGATTACTTGCAGTCAAGTTTTTGCTTAAAGAGAAGTAAAAACAAGAGGAAGAGAATATAGGGATAACTTTTGAAGTTTTCTTCTAATTGGTTTAAAGAAAGTGATAAGATTATATTAATGCAGAAGTATAAAACTTCTTACGAATATCTTTTTTGTGTGTGATTAAAGGATCAGTGGAAAAAGTATGCATATTGTGTTTTTGATTAATCATTACTATAAATTATATAATAATTAATAAATTTTTAACAATAATAAAATTTTAAAATTATTTATAAAAAAATATTTTTTTAAAAATAAAATAAGCTTTAATAATTTTTGATTATACTGTATAATTAAAGATTTAAAAATTGATAAAGTTAAAAATGAACTAAAACCTTTGAAGGCAACTGTATATGTATATATTGAATTTTTTATATTTTATTTTTAGAAGCACTTGAATATACACCAAAGACTTGGAATAGTTTTTGTTTATATTACTGATAAGGAAAATGGTTTTGTTTAACCATAATAGAGAATCTAATCGACTAAAGGAATCTAACCCGACATTTCACTGATTGAGAAAACCGGTTGTTTTCCTGTTCCAAACTATAGATGTTTCATTTATACCGCATGCATAGTGACTTCAGCAAAGCTTCCCAAGATCATCATGTCATGACGCTAAGCACTACCAGATTCAGACAATCTAGAAACTTGATTTCCTTTGTTTAGGGTTAATCACAGAAAAGCCGCACATTTGAACGAGGAATATGTGAACAGTCACACGTTCGGGATGTGTTGGCTTCCTAATCAATAAATTTCCCGAAAAAGTCAAATGTTTTAATGTATGTTTACGCACAGTAGTCCATAGGTAACAAATTCATTTTAGATAAAAAAAAAAAAACCAACATATCAGAAAAAAATTATTTAAGTAAAAAAAATATGCACCATTCCTTACATTCATTTCCTTTTTTTTTCAATTTCCTTTTTTTTTTTTCATTTCGTTTTCCTGGGTCAAAGTCGACCTAAGACAAAAAGGACATGACATCACAATATAATGAACAAACTGAAGATAAGATTGCAGTGTCTTATGCTTTCGACGATGAAGCACGCAAAAGAGAAGGAAAAGCAAGGATAATCGTATTGATTATTATTGCATTGATGACCACTACATTTGGAGGTAATTCCCTAATAATAATAATAATAATAATAATAATAATAATAACAATCTCGATTGCTCAAGCGATGTCGTGTGAATTGTAGCCTGGAATATCTGGAGGATGATAGAAGCAGTCAGAGGTCCGGTGGTTTCCTTAAAATCCGTCACACGGTCGTATATACCTGTAAAGTATTATATATGTTCATACAATTAATTGATTTAAACCACTTTTTTTTTTGGTAAATTAAATTGCTATTCTTTTTATTAGGTGCCAGGGTAAGATCATTCCTTCTTGTTCATTACCATCTAGTAAGAATTTTAACACATCCCCACCATCCGTTTAGTATCGCGATCTGCGGAAACACACTTGATCGACCACCTTTGTGTTATCAGAGTGCTTTCAACGCTGCGGATGATAATTATGCATTGGGTGAAAGTTGCAACGCCTATTTCACGAGTCATCGAATGGATGCAACTAACTTTATCAATATGCGAGGATTCGGCAACCTTACCGGACAATATTGTTGTAAGTAAAAGAAAAGTAAAATAACTAAATAAAATGATCCTTTTCTTTTTCTTTTTTTTCGTTTGTTGATGTGAAAATATATCTACATATTTAAGACATACTCAATCCTTCACAAATGATTAACGGATCGTATGGAGTAAACCCACTAGTCTTCGATAATTCCACGCAAAAAATTGCACTCGCGTTGTGGTCAAACGAATCAGCCAACAATACGGTAAGAACTTGACAATTCGTGCATAACTTTATTATATTTTAAGAAATTCATGTTTACACAAATGTACGAACCAAGTAGTTAGGTGCCATCACGCAGGATCGGTGGTTCTTTGTTGGCACCTTCACCGAAAATGATGATCCCACTACAACAAGATTTCAAATTGTTAAAATGGTAAATAACAGTATATTCGTAGATACACCAAAAGAATCTATATTTTTCTCGCGGCACATGATGCACCATTGACATCAGTCACGAGACTTTTGCGCATACTAGACTATAACTTGAATCTGTCGTTTATGTTTGTTCTCAGCCATCCATATCCTACATTTATTTCTCCCGGATAGAACATTATGATGCGTCGAAATCAGGTAAACTTTAATCGGTCATGCGCGTAAATCTATTCATTATTATTAGTATGAATTAAGATATTTTACCCGTCTCTATTTTTCCAGACGCAATAATTGGCACTGGTGGGAGTAGTGGAAGTACAAATCCACGCCCTGGCGCTAAAATTGAATACGATAAAACTTTTACTAGCTTTGACATTGAAGGATTTGCAATTGATTCTCATCTCTGGGAACTTCTTAGGATCATCCCCTCGAATTATATCACCAATCCCGAAACAAATACCCAACAATATCCCGTACAAATTTGGCTTGATAGAATTGAATTCTCTCTCCTCCAACTGGCCGCTAACATGGGAGGTTTCGTGAGTATCTTGAGTGCAGTGTATTTCATTTTGTTCGGTTCGCAAAAAATTAATCCATGGGGTATCGTTCAACGTTATGTATGTATCACTTTGACGTTAATCTATTTATTCGGACAGTTGTTATGATGCCAACGGTTATCAAATTTCATACTCTTCCTAGGTTCTTAAAAATGTCCCACCTCCTCCCTCCATCTATTCACCGACCGCCACATTGTACTCGGATGTTAAAGTCAGACCTCAAGATATCGAGGCTGGTGATTCGCATGTAACCGACTCTCCCATTCAGCCGACAGATTTAACACCCGAACATAAATTGCACAAGGAATACGTGCAACGATACTCTCAGGGGCCACTCACGCTTACAGTTGACATGGATGATCCCAAAATACAGGAAATAAGGCATGAGTTGCGCGCAGAAGTGCAACGAACCATTGCCAACGAACTTGCCAAATTAAGATTGTTCTTGAGTAAATATTATCTTAAAGATATCATAAAAGCCGAATGAATATCACCGCCAGTGAAAATCAAATTGCACGATATGAATGTATTATTCTCCGGAGTTCAATCTCCTGTTCGATTTTTTTTGACATAGGTACTTCATAACCATCATTAATTACATTTTTCATTAAGGCGTAAAAATAAACAAAAAAAAAATGGAAATCTATAACAAGTGTGCTATTTCTTACAGGCAGAATTGTTATTTTTAAATATCTGATTTTGTCAAAAAATTTTTTATGGTTCAATGTTTGAATCGTCTATTTATACTATAATAACTTCTCCGATGCATCCCGGACACTTTCCAATCTCGAAATCGCTGCTAAACTGAGAAAGTGCGTATCGATGATTTACAATGTGCTGTGAAGAGATAACTTTGTTCGGTATTGAATCATTCTGATGTTTCAAATGTAGCTCTTGGTTCGATATGTAGTTTGCTGATACTTTAGGGTTAATCTCACGGGTACTTCCATTCATCTTTAATGTATCACCCTTTAGAGAAAGTTGTTCTTGTATTTTCGAAACCTCCCGCTCTAACCTGCTGGCTCTCAATTTCTCCTTCTCTACCTCTTCTACCAATACCAATTTTTCATTGCTTATTTCCACAAATTTTTCCCTCAGTTCGGTTAACTGAGATAATAGATTACGATTATCCGATGACAGACCATCAATCTTGGTCGTAAGATCTTTAATGCGTTTGGTCATCTTGGAATTCTCCGATTGCGATGCTTCCAATTCCAGTTTCAAGCTGTCACGATCGCGTTGCAACTCTTCGATCACTGATGATTTCATCGAATGTTGCTCGGTAAGTTCTGAGAATTCACGTGACATTACTTCAAGTTCGCTTGATTTATTTGCCAACTTTTGACTAACATCACTGTTGACTTCGGTAAGCGATTGAATTTGACTAGCCATCGATTCAAATTTCGAATGCCTTTCACGTGAATCTTGTTCAGTTTCCAACAACTTATTTCCTTTTTCCCTAAGCTCTTGTTCTACGCTAGTGAATTGGTGTCGTAGGTTGGATAATTCAATTTCCAGAGCCTCACAACGATCTTCTTTATCCTGAAGAGACTTCTGAAGTGTTTCGACCTCCTCCGAAGTGGTCCGAATCTTAGCCCTTTCCGCGGTTAACTGTTCAACTATGGAATCTTTGGTATTCAATTGAGATAAAAGCTGTTTGTTGTCCTTTTCAAGTTGTTCCACGCGCGCATTCTAAAACGGACACAAGAACAAATTATATTAAAAAATTATTCGACGATTCGAATTCGCAAAACACTTCTACCTGCGACTGTAGAGATTCTATTATCTTTTCCTTTTCTTCCTCCACTTCCCTCAATCGCTCCTCACTATTCTTAACCTTTTCCTCATATTCTCCATTTTGCCGTCGTAGAGCATCAACCAGCATTCGGCCTTCTTCCAAAAACTCCTCACTGCTCTTAAATCGGTCGGCCATCGCCGAATACTTTTCAAGATCCGATACCAGCGCTGTCTTTTCCTCAACCAACAAAGCAATGGTTTGCTGTTGCATGCTACATATGTTGGCGAGGGATTCATAAGGAACTGGTTCATCACCGGATATGCCGGTTAATGAAGGCGTATTTTCGGCGGGGGCTATGTCAATCGGTTTTGATAAAATATCTGTTTGCAACTGTTGTGCATGAGAATGGGTGATCGGTTGATGGCCTTCGACGAGTGAACTATGCGTCGCTTGGCTGGTGTCCGAAGGAAGAGAGTCTCTGGAAATATTAATTAACTTCGTCAGATAAGATATAAATTCTGACCGGAGTTCCTGGAAACCATACTCACTTTAAAACTTCACTTGATAAACTATTCTCAATCTTGGAGTCGTCGTCAGCACTCGCGACGGTTCTATTCAATGATTAATTAATAGTCAAAGTTAAAATTGTGTCGCAATTATTTACTGTTATGAAATAAAGAAGTCTTTGCCATCAGACTAATGCATTCATATCATTGCTCCTAAAGAGTTCAGTCTTAGATGTTCTGTTTTTTTTTTTTTGATTTCAATCATTTGGCTGTACATTGCTCATTACAATTTTAAAATTGGATCGAATCCCATTGGTAATCCTTTTTCTCTTCAAAAGGAAAAACATACTCTTGCACTTTCCCCTCCGTCCCTTCCGCTTTAGCACTCCCAGAGTCTGAAGTGACGCTCGATCTTCTCGTACTTGAGGCTGTTGCGGAATCAGAACTTTTCCTACGAGCTGCCGCAGAGGAAGCGTCTGCTGTGACACCTGTGGCCTTCTTCTTTTGAAATTTTTTAAGCTACATCGAGGGTAATAAAATTAGAAAGGTCGTTAATCCTATAATCCCTTGAAGGAAACGATAAATTTATGGATCAACAAGAAAGGTTACTTAATTCAATGTGAAAGCTAAAAACCTTTTTTTTTCCAGCCAAAAGCCTTTCTTCGCGCGAAGCTTCACTTTCCATATTATGGATCCTTTAGTCGATCAAGAGTTTTTTTCTCGGATATTTAACGTATGAATACCAACTACATTTGAAGTTGTCTCAAGCCGCATAGTTTGGTTGGCTAATGATATGTGCTACGTGTGTTAATTTTATTTGACGATGACGATTCAAAAAGTTTTCAAAATAATGAATATGTCTCGTGTCAGATTCGAACTGACGACCGTCTGTGTGTTAGACAGACGTGATAACCAACTACACCAACGAGACTTTGATGCTTCTTTCTTACGAATATTTAACTGTTGAACTTTAATTATTGCAATTCCTCACGTGAATAATAAATAGAAAAATTTTGTCGACTATATTTGGGAATTCTAAGTTTAATATTTAAATTTTTTTCTTTGCTACTTTATTTTCTTGTAATTTTTTTTTTTTTTTTTTTATATTGAAAAGCATCTATAAAAGAGTATAATATTGTCTCTTAAATTAAACTTTATCAATAATTTTAGAAGAGCATAAGATTGTCTCTTAAATTAATTTTAGAAGAGCATAATATTGTCTCTTAAATTAAACTTTATCAATAATTTTAGAAGAGCATAATATTGTCTCTTGAATTAAACTTTATCAATAATTTTAGAAGAGCATAATATTGTCTCTTAAATTAAACTTTAAACTTTATCAATAATTTTAAAGAGTAATAACAAGTTTAATTACATTGTGATAGATCTATAAAGTTGACCATTGAATGCAATTTTTGGATTCTAAAATATTTTTATATAGCAAGTTAGCAAGTTTGATTAATTATGTTATGACATATGGCACCATCACTAAATAGCGCTATTTTAAGGTCCGAAAAGGTTATGAGGTTATGACGTTTATATGATCGAAAAATGCGTGTTATACAAATTCATGCGACTTCGACTAATTGTCAATGAATTAATATAACTATAATATTACTTTCCACCAGAACGTTCTTGAAAGCATTATTCTCCTTCTCCTAAAAAAAAAAAAAAAATAAGAAAAAAAAAAATGGCGAAGAAGAAAAGACCAGTCAAACCTTCAGAAACAGTTGGGCTTTCATTGCAGAATAGCCAGAATGGTCCCGAAATAACAAACAGCGAAGGGCATAACGGAGTTTTAAAAACCGAGGTTCGTTCAATAATAATAAATTACATGCGGAGCTCTTACCCTTGTTAACCCGACAAAAGACGAGATAGAGCAAGGTCTTTTATTCACGAGAGATTCATACTTTGTCTTTACCGATAGGAACAACCGAGTGGATTATTAATGGATCAGCCTTCCAAGAAAAAATGGAGAAACATGACAGTTCGAACCATCTGGACACTTGTCATGATTGGTGGATTTTTCGCTATTCTAGCAGCGGGACATTTTTTCGTCATTCTTCTTGTAGTGGTGATTCAAACATTAGTGTACAAAGAAGTTATTGCACTGGCGCACGTTCCTAGCAAAGAAAAGAAACTACCCTGGTTCAAAACACTCAATTGGTGAGTGCGGATTTATTCGGTTTTTTTCTCAAAACTATTAAACTCTTGGATGCTTATGAAGACCTTCTTGTAATATTTAACTGATTCCAGGTACTTCCTTGTAAGCACGAACTATTTCCTTTATGGTGAATCAATAATTTATTACTTCAAGGAAGTAGTCTTTGTGGACGCCTTTCTTCTCAACTTTGCCGCACATCATCGATTCATTTCATTTACCTTGTATTGCATAGGTAAGAGACATTGGCAATATAAATTGAATTGCGCTTCTAAGAAACTAATCAAATTTTTATTCAAATTTATTTTAGGATTTGTGTTATTCGTTGCAAATCTGAAAAAAGGACATTACAAATTCCAATTCACGCAGTTCGCTTGGACACATATGACTTTGTTAATTGTTGTTTGTCAGAGTCACTTCATCATAAACAACATATTTGAGGGCCTGATCTGGTATATAAATAGATCCTAACTTTACATCAAATAAATATATGTTTATATATGCACTTCTATATCTATCTCAGGTTCGTTCTTCCGGTATCCTTGGTAATCTGCAACGATATTTTCGCCTACATCTGTGGATTCTTTTGGGGAAAAACGCCGTTAATAAAATTAAGCCCTAAAAAAACCTGGGAGGGTTTTGTGGGCGCGTGGATTTGTACAATTATTTTTGGTTTCTTCGTCAGTATATTTATTTAAAACTTGTATATAACCGCAACTGATTACGAGATTAGCATTGTGGTACTGATATCTTTTTTTTTTTTTTTTTAATACTACCTTTTAGTGGGCTTCATTATTAATGCGATGGGACTACATGATTTGTCCTGTCGTTAAAGTGAGGACGATTATTTATTCATTTTTTTTTTTCAGAAATAACCGATAAAGCAAATTATTGACTCTGTTTCTCAATAGGATCTTGGTGCCAATGCATTATCAGGTATGACATGCGAGCCAAACTCGGTGTTCGTTCCTCAGCAATACGCACTTAGTCCTTGGATGATCGGCTTGTTAAAACGATTGGTAAAGTTGGTTGTTTTTTTTTTTTTATACCACGACTTGACCGGATCAGAACAAGTTACTTATCACTAGGAAAAATTACAACACATGGTAGACTTTCTATGATATTCGCGCGGTAAGGATTGCGCCCCTTCAATGGCATGTTCTGGTGATTGGTTGTTTTGCCTCATTGATTGCACCATTTGGTGGATTCTTTGCCAGCGGGGTAAAAAGGGCATTCAAAATTAAGGTATGTTATTCCGCATATGTAACAGTGTTTGGATGTTGAATTGTATGTATTAAGTTTGCTTTTTAGGATTTTGGGCATTCCATTCCAGGACACGGCGGCATTACTGATCGCATGGATTGTCAATTCCTCATGGGATTATTTTCTTATATATATTATCAGAGTTTTATCAAGGTGATTTACCTTTTTCACAAGCGAGATCCTGAAAATAGTTCGTTAACAATTTATTTTATTATCTCTAGAATACTTCATTGTCGGTCGGTACAGTCCTTCAGACTGTTGTCAGTTCTTTAAAACCCCAAGAACAAATCGAATTATTAGATAGTTTGCAACAATACCTGATCGGACAAGGATTATTAGAGGAGGGAAAAGTTGCATGCGTTTACATAAATAGTTGAAAAGGCTGGTCCTTTAATTTTGATTGTAATTAATGGGTATATGATTATTATTGAATTAATGCCAGACCTCACACAACGATGAAGCAGTTGTAAGAAGACATCAAGAATAATTTGACTTGAAACATTCAATCCGGTGTAAATAAGATCTAATAATTCATCATTTAGTCAATTTCTAATCATACCATAGCAATTTTAATTTCATATCTAATAACCATATTTTACTGGCAGCGTCTGTAAATATTCGTTTATTTTCTTGTAAATCCAGTATATTGATAAACTTTCACTAAAAGCAACCATTTCTAACATCAAGAATTAAGTTTTTCAAGTGCTTTCTATGATTTTAACTAGGATCGATAAAATATATATATATATACAGTAAATACTGTATATATTGAAAACAGCTTCACATTAACTTTAATTTTTATCTTATATTTTCGGTGGAGTATCACCAACTTTTGTCGGTATATAGCTATCCTGCTTTTCAGGAGTATTAATTGCAGACGGTAATGTATAATCTTTGACTTCAGACAAGTAATACTTCATTAGGGCATCTCTAAATGCCTATATCAGTTGAATACGAATAAGTTCAGACCGAATCGTGCCAGAAATAAGTTTTAAATTTTACCTACTCTGAATTCGGCCATTTTCTTCGAGCTTCCAAATCCTTCACCCAACTCGTCGACGCCAGAATATACTCCAACAACAAAAACGGGTGCAACGGAATGTGCACCACTCTCTCCTTTTAATCTATCGAATTATTCATCACAAATAGTTATCATCAATGTCAATTATGGATGGGTGGATGCGTAAATGAAATAATGTACCTAGCAATTGGTGACTCTCGATTTTTTCGTCTCATTAGAGCGTGCAATTCCCTTTTTACATCATTAATCTGTATAACATCTTGCATATCAATATCTCTGGATAAGATATAATCATGGATAAACCTTTTCGCAGATTGGGGGCCCTTCAAAGGGATCAATACTTCAATCAGTTCACTGTCCACCAATATAAACTGTTCATATCAGAAAAGAAAGTACACACCTTATCTATGTATAAGGCACCGATGATAGCTCGAACAGATTCTGCCACGGCGGTGTCAATATTCGTTCGCGTAGCTTTAAATGATTTAATGGTGCCATCAGATTTATTTTTAATTGTGTTCGTATGGTTAACAGATTTAGAATTTTTGAATAAATCTTCATCGGAAGTCTAATTAAAGTTGAAGGAAAGATATTATAATGTCCCGTCTCAATGATAATATTTGATGAAGCGACCGACTAACCGGCTTCCACCTGATAACATGTTGCACGCCAACTTCTTGTCCAAAAGCCGCTAAAGACGGTGAGCCACAATACCCAGTTAGAGCTTTCTGCAAGCAGGATAAAGGAATAAGGGGATATCTGACGTGTAGGTATTCAGTGACGTATAGGCCGAGTGCATGATTTCCTTGAATTCCACAGAGAATTATTTAGATCAAATTCAAAAGTTTTGAAAAACCACAATTTGACGGGTTTATCAAGTAACCTAGGACCCGATAGCCTTCACCAGAGTGCAATTTGGTATCACCAAAAGTTTCGAGTGTGACCACTTGCAAAAGTAATTTTGGGTCAGAAAAACGAAGATTCAAACGTGCATCTAGGGCATACAATGCTGGTGATACATCGTTTGTATTTTCACCGTTGATAATCTCGGAAAAATTTCTTGTAAAATTTCGACCAGGTAGAAGTGAAAGTTTTAATCGATTTTTGAAGAAAGTGGAAACCCGAATAAAAGTCATTTTATATTTCTCGAAAGTTGGACTTTTTACGCATCTAATCTCATTTTTTGCACGTGATAAAAGATGCATCACAGATTAAATTGCTTAAGAATCAATTTTTAACTCTTAATCAGATGGTTAGCATTTATTATACTGTATCTACAGTATATAAGAATTTTTAATTCTCTATTAATTTAGTTACAATGTGTATGCTTTATTAAACTTTTTTTCTTTTTTTTTTTTGAACACTGGCTCAGCCAGAACTTTATTGATACCCCCGAAAACTGCATATTCAAATTATATTGAACAAATAAAGTTTTACAATAGAAGATCTTTATGAGAATATTCTATCTTATGGTTGAACCACCTTCTAAAGAAAAGAGGACTAGTCTAAGGCCTAAACTAGTATTGATAAAAATATCAAATCTGTACAGATCATCAAATAATTGGTTTAAATTTTTACTTCTATCAACTATTTATCAAAATCTAATATCGACAAGGTCAACATTTTACAAATTATCTGTCAGAATACTATGTCTTTTTATTTTTGAAAGAGAAAAGGTGAAACAAAAAAAAGTAATTACTTATTTAAAAATCTAATAGATTCTATGACCATAGAAATATCTTAAAATTTTTGATAAAGTTGACAAATCTAATTCTATAAGTAACATCATTTTCAAATATATATTTTATTTAAGAAGATATAAAACTTTCAAAAGTAAGTTAAGCATTAAAAAGATTCTTCTATTTTGACAATAGTTTTTAACTAGTATTTTCATTGCAAGTAAAAATAGTAAATACGTTAATAGTTTTATAACCTTTTTTTGAAAATAAGATTTATTAAAAGTTTGATATAAGACTTTAATTTATAATCCTTTAACAAATCATAAATCAAAATTAAAAATCCATACAATTCATTTATTTGTTTTTATATAAAAAAAGACAAAAAATTTTTTTTTAAAAAAAAAATTCTTTCCATTGATCTCTAGTTTTCTTAAAAATTTTCTTTTTTGATAATTTTGTTGAAAAACAAGAGAAACTAGTTTTATACATACAAGAAAACACTTTTATACACAAAAATCTTTGCTTTTTTTTTTTTTTGAACCCTTTGTCAGGCTAGTTATGTGTGCTTTATTAAACAATTGTAAGCTATACATATAGTATGAATCACTAAAGCTAAAACTTTAACTAGCTCATTCATCTCAGTAATTACTCTAAATGTAACTTTGGGAGTAATTTTTCACTCCATTAAAAGTTCAGGTGAAGACCCTTCCAACTTTTAATATCATTGCCTATAGGTCGCTGCTGCAGACTAATTATGTATGTTTTATTAAATATTAGTATATTAAATATATAAAATATGTCACTAAATCTAAATCTCTAATTAGTTTACTTATCTTAATTATTATTACTCTAAATATAAATTCGGGAATGATGTATCACTCTATTAGTAGCTTAGATAAAAACCTTTCAACTACTAATTTTATTGCCTATAAATTATTATTGCAGATTCTCCTTATGAGTTCTGACAAAAAGTTAAAATTCTAACCATCTTATTCCATACTTTATTTCTTCTAATAAGATTTATTTTAGATCCTTATCTTCTAGTTTTTCTTCTTTCTGCAAGAATTTTTTCATAATTATGGTCTTGTTATTCTGATCTGAAGAACCAGCTGGTCTTTTAATTTTATTTACTCTATAGATCCCTTGTACTTGTTTCCATTCAATCATTTTTGAACATCTTTCATTTCAAATATTTTTTCAAAATTGATTGCAAATCTTCTTTTGTATTTTTATTATTCACTTTTGAACTTCTTTACTTATTCTTTTCTGGCAATATTTTAGATTGAATATTTTTTATATTTGATTACTTTGTATTGGTTTCATATAGAAGTTTACTATGTCTGGCTTGTTTCTATAGTTTCTTCTATAAGCCTGGCTATATATTTGTCTAATTCTTTCAATTTTACTCTGTTTTTAATCAGAAATCTTATTTTTTTCTTTTCTATCACTTTTATTTTATCATGTAAAAGTTTTTGAAAGTCTTTTAGAATACTTTTTATTTCTTTGTTCCATATTTTTTTCTATTGAATTTTATATTCTAATATATATTTTATTGTTTCTGCTTGTTGTTTATATGCTATACACTTTACTTGTTTATATAAATCTGATCTTTTTATAACTAGTTTATAAAGTGTTTGTAACTTTTCATTGAATAATTTAATAAGAAAGCTTTTTTTGAAGAATCTTTAAAGAAGGTATTTAATGATAGATCCCTAAAATATTTAGCATATAAAATTTTGTGTATCACTTATGTTCTTTTTTAAGGGACAAAATTCATAGCTCTTTATTTTAATAGGAATAAAGATCAAAAAATGTTATAAATCAATAATTTGGATAATGAAGAACAATTGTGAATAGTTTTTTTATATTTATTAATTTAAAAATTTTAATGTTTCATAATGAGAAATATTTGACTTTTGTTCCTACTTTTTCGTTAGGGATCTATCTTTAGAGGTGTCTAAATATACCTATTTTTTATTCTTTTCTATATCAAATTTTATATATAATCATATTGATCTTAAATCTATTGGTTCCATTTATTCAAAATTCTGTTTTGGTTTGTTTATTGATGAAATATAACTTTTTTATTCACTTGATTATTTGAAAACTCATTACACTTGAAGTGCTCTATTTGTATTACTTGCTTAGAGTCTTTCAACCTTAGCTTTCTTCATATTATTTTTTGATATCAATTACTTGTTACTATTTAGAGTATTTGTTTTTTATCACAATCTGAATTTATTTTTATAATTTCTAATCCTTATTTTGACCAATTTTCTTTCTAAGTTTTGTGAGCTATTCTAATCTTTTTTTTGTATACTTTTTTTTTATAACTAAATACCACTTTGAAATAAGTCACTTACTAATTTTCTAGATTAGTTGGATTATTCACTATCTTCTTAGTTCTTTAGTTTCATGAGTAATCAGCTGATTCATATATATCAGCCTATTGTTTTTAATAATAGTATAGCTTTTGCATATTTATTTGATACTAAATATTTTTTGATTAAGTAGTTTTTTTTGTTCTATTAAAAAATATATTGTTATTTCTAACTTTGAAACCTTATTTTTATATCTTTGGTAGCTTTATTACTTGAAGTGCAAAATTATCTCTATTTGATATATGATCTAATAACTTACAAATAAATAGATTGAGTAATTCCTAGTATTTAACTTGTGTTCATTTGATTCAAATAATTATTGTAAGTTTTGCTAATCCTGGATCATTTAGTTTGTTATATAGTCTTATTAATTGATTTTTCTTTTGTGGTATTTAAATACAATACTCTTTAAGTTATAGATTTTTGAATGATATACTATGCTATTGAATATAAATCTATACAAGTTACTTTTATTTTTAAGGAGCTTTTTATATACTTTGGTTAAAGTATTACACATTTTCTTGAATAGTATGCTATATTATATATGAAACTTTATTCTTGATATTAGAATCTTATTTAAAATATAGAGTATTTGTTTACCAGTTAACTTTTTATTAAGGGCTTGTATAATTATATTAATCTCTTTGAATATTTACTCTTTTAACTCAACCACTATCTTTTTATTACTAGTTTAGATCTTTAGAAATTTTGTATGTTCAGTTCTATCTAGATCCTTAATTGTTTCATTATTGATTCCTACTTTAATTTTTTCTGGATAGTAATTAGGATTATTAATAGTAACTAGTACTAATTTATTACTATTAATCTGAAAGTTGTTGACTTTATAAAAGATTCTTACTTCTTTTAGAATCTTTTTTATATTTTATTTAGATTTTGCTATTTATATAATATCATTCATAAAAATGATGGCTGTATATCTAGATTTCAATTTCTTGTTTACTTTTCTTTTTTTTTAGATTTGAATATCAGGGGATCAACATTTCATATTTCTTTATTTCATTATTCTAAATTTTATACAATAAAGGATCATAAAATATTCTTCACATTAGAAGTGAAATAGTTTCTTTTTAGTCAATCATATTTTCAAATATTATTGATCTTGTGAGCCCATTTTCAATTATAATTTTAAATTCTTTATATTAAAACAGGTCTATTATAATTTTAATAAACCTTTCTAGAAGTTTGATTCTTTTCATAGTCCTTATTAACATATCCAAGCTGATTGTATCTTAGACCTTAGCTGTGTCTTAAAAGAGTATCCACAACTTTTTGTTTTCTCTTATATCTTATAGATATTGTTGAGAATTTGGATCAGTTTTGCAATACTATCTTTTGATAGTCCTGTAAAATTAGGACCTCTCAAAATATTGTTAAGCTTGCAAATATTTTTTAATCAATTTGTTAGAATTTTAGTAAAATATTTTCTTGTAACTTTTAGTAATTTTTTTTTTGGAGTATCCATAGCCAGACTAGATTGTCAGTTTATTAATCAATTAAAAATATAAGTACATTTTTATTTGAGCAGTATGATATATACTACAGCTAAACTATTATTCTAATCTAACTAACTCATTGTAAGTATAAAAGCCTTTAAGTTTAGCCTTGGAGACAATATTTTGCTTCGCAATATCTTTAAGTAGAAACCCTTTTAGTCCATGACATTATTGCTAGCAGGTTGTTACTACTGTATATCATATCAAGCCACTGGAATACAGAAAACTACAAAAGAATGGGTTGAAAAAAAGGAGAAGAGGAATATCTAAAAATGTTTAAACAGATAACAAGAAAATAAGAAAGTAAAAATTGAAAAAAATATTTCCAGATTTTTCTAAAGATCTGCTTCTTAAGACCTCTTCTCAATAAGAAATGTTTGATTGGAATATTCTTTCTTTTCCTAACCATTTAAGGAAATTATTCATTCTTGATCTTGATTTTCTTCTTGTGTACCATCAGAAGAGACTTATTACCTAGTAGAAGCCTTTATTTCCAGGACACACTTGGTCCCAACCTTCTTTGGACAATGATTTTTTATTTATCTGTGGTAAAGAGGTGACC